TGACCCGTTTCAGGACATGTGTGTGGTGTATGTTGCGGTTTTTCTTGATCTTGAGCAGGCACGGCGGCCTCTTCATTGAGCGCAATGGACCACTTAAGTAGGTCAGCTGTCGAAATCTCAGCTGTCTTCATGCATTCTTCGATGCGCTGGACAATGGGTGCTGCCGGGGAGAGAGATTTGATCTGGGGAAAGTGTCGAACAAGGTAAGCGGTGAGTACGCTTAGAACCTTTGCGCTCATGTTTAGTCGGCTCTCTTTGAGACCTGTGCAGCTTGAGAATAACAGCTCCTGCAAGCATGCAAGCCGCTCGCGTGTTGTGTGGTTCTGAGAGCTGACGTCGATCACCTTGGGCGACGCATCAGCGCCCCATCCACTCAAGACCCGAGCGACCTTCCTGTCCTCCCGCGCCGTGTTCGTGATGTAGGCGAAGGCCTTGTTGGTCTTCGTCATATCCAAGCTCCTCGGTCAAAGATCCATTGCGCTGCAAGTCGGTCGTCGCCGTTCGCGTGCTGTGCACCACCGCGGCGGAAGGAATGGGAGGTGAGCTCTGCCGTGACACCTGCCGGTTCAGCAATGCGCTTGAGCAGTCGATTAACCAGGCCTTGCATGCTGTCTTCTCCGCGCTTGACCCCTTTGTCCAACGAGGTGGGTGGCGCCCCGATAGTGCTAACGGTCGGTTGTATGCTCATAGGTTGGGGCACTACTGCAACTTGGAGAGCCTCGGGAACCTGTGACAGCAGGTCGTGGAGCGGGACACCAGCATCAAGTGGCGCAGTATCCTGCGGAGCCAGCGCCGGTAAGTGGCCAAGAAGAGACACGTATGGAGCTTCTTGAGTCACAAGCGCCACGGCTAGCGAGTGCAACGTGCACGTCAGGAAGTCGTCCTTGTCGGGGATCAGCGTGAGGCCCTGCTCCTCCGACGTCTTCACCCGGAGAAGACGCAAGTAGAAAACGCCATCCGCGGACACTGAGACGTGCTGCTTTTGGACGTAGCACAGATCCGATGATCTCCCAATGCAGTGCCACATGAGGCACGCTAGCGCAGCATCCTGGTAGTCCGCGTTGACGCGTGCAGTACTGTATACATAATGAACCAAAGACCTTAAATCCTCCTTAGTACAGGGAGGAGCCTTATTAGTTAAGCCACCATTGAAATTGACCGTCTGCTCAGTCTCGTTGAAGAATTTCTTCCGCTTGGAAAAGATGAATCGGAGCGGTTGGCAGGTTTCTACAACGTTACTAGGGTGCGAGGCTGGCAAGAAGTGAGTACGAAAGCCTGCGTCGTAAATTCAAGGTGCTATATAGCACGAGAAAGCCAACTGGAATCGGTAAGATGCCCCCACACGTTAAGCAAGCAAAGCCGTTAAAAGACGCAATCGACGAAATGGCAAATGTGGTCGTCATGGACGACGGAGCGGATAAAGAGCAGCAAGATTTTCAACCGGGCTTCTCCTTCGAAGTGGATCCCGACGACGACGACGACGACTTGGTTAGTGTTGGAGATGCCCCAAGCGGAACGGGTGACGTCGGAGGTCTTGGTCAGAGCGGTACGGCGGGCATCGAGCAATCCGGCGGGCCTCAAACGCCAATCGATGGTAGCTTTCAGGAGATGCTGGCTTCTGCCCTTGCAGGAGAGATGCCGGACCCCACCACAGACACCCCACGTCCTGTGCCAGCGCAGCGATCTGGTCCAACCACTCGAGCTAGGACGCGCACATCCGTCGCCTCAGCTCCTACCAGTAACGTACAGACCCCAAGGAAACCAGCAACCCGAAGCCGCGCAGTCACCGACGGCTATAAGTACGAGAGCCTGCGAAAGTGGTCCGTATTTGCGAAATTCCTACAGTTCGTACTCGGGAGTTTACCAACCGAAAAAAAAAGGTTGTCAAGCCTCATCCCACGCAGTTCAGGGTCGTAAGGAAGCGGCAAGTTGAGGCGGCAGTACACCTTTTGTATACTGCCCATGCCCTACTCAGCAGCTTGACGTACAGACGTGATCGCATTATGGAGGGTTCTGGCTGAGCTTCGAAGGGATGGTTCGATTCGATCCAGATCTCCATCTTTCAAAGGCGTCCGAATACGCCCTGCCATAGTCGTAGAACACGGAAAGGCTAGGTCAGAAACCACGTTCACACGTGGGTCAGGGCACATAACCGGATCTAGGATCTTGCTGCGGAACTCCATCGAAGTGGCCGAGTCGCTCCACGACCCAGGGCAGTTGTGCTTGCTCCAGGCTATACATCCATCCGCGGCAAAGCAAATTGTACCGGTTACGAATGCAGTATGCAACCAACCGTTGTGTTTTGCATGTCCGCATTCGATGGCTGCTGGACCTGTAATAAAAACAAAATAGTTAACAAAAAAAATTTTATGCAAAAACGTAGAATATGTACTAACCCTCAAGTTCTTGCCGTCGATAAAGCCAAATGTGTGCTTGAGCATGGGCTCACGAGCTTCTACCAGCTTCGCCAGCTTTGCTTGGTGCGCAGGGGATGGCCACGCAATCCGCGAGGGCTTGTAGTTGTTAAGAGCTTGGTTTAATGCCCTCTCAGCCCTTTGCAACGTCCGACTCAAGGTACTTGGAGGAACTCCAAAGAGCATGGACAGCGTGCTCGGCTCCATCGACCCAGTGTAGAACACCAACACGAGCCCAAGGACCTGGTGTAGGTACTGCAACTTGGGCGGACGACCGCGAGAGTTCGGGTCTCGTTTCGTGTAGAATGCAGCAAAGCGATGTAGGAGCTGACTAAATGCAGTCCTGTCGACAAAAACTCAGTAGATTAGCCAACATCGTTTAGGTAAGATCGTAGCGCATCACGTCACAGCACCTGGCAAGGCTGGTGGCATTAAGAAAGTTCAGGTCGCTGCCATACTCAAACAGCATCATCCACGCGGACTCGCTGGGCGTGTCCAAGCACTGGCTCGTCAAGTAGTGACGGATACGCATAGCGGTCCGCCACGCATCCTCTATGAGCATGGCGAACACCTCTCGACGAGCCTCCTTCAGCTCCTGCTCGTGTCGCTGAACAGCCTCCCCTACAAGGAGCATTACATCCAACTCTTCATCCTCCATACTTGTGCTGCAAGTTCGAAAACTCAAAGCGGGAGGGTGAGGAAGATTTCGTGTAGTTGTGTCCGGTTTAAAGTGTCGGTTAAATTTGAAGTGACCGAAATTGGTCGTTCTATATATAAAAAGAGGCACTTTCAATAGGACAGGAACTGTAGTTTTATGCCACTTTTGGTAAATGTTTAGTTGGCAAATGACGGCATAAGCCTCAAATATGACTGTCATATCAGCTGCAAATATGGCACCCGTTTATTATATTTTTGGAAGGCACCCATTGAGGTAGCCTTGGATTGATCTTTAAGTGTCAATTTTTGCTTTACAGACTTAAAGGCACGCGGTACCATACAGTCAATATGGGTAAAACTGAGGCAAACTGACTGCAAAAATGTATCAAAACTGTTATATTTGCCATTTTCTTCTCCAGGTACTTTGTCTTGAAGATTTGATAATTTGCGTTTATACTGTTTTAATTCGATGACGTTACTATTTAAAAAAACGAGCCTTTAAATAGACGGAGTAGTCACACTTCTCTTTTAGCTCACAAAATACCCCCGCTGCATGCACGGCAGATGTTAAGTCCCCGCGAGCCCAAGCAGGTTCGACTTCTACACGCACACAACGGGTAATTGCGCGACAAGCAATTCTGCGAGAGTTCGCGACCACAGACCGATAGGCCCTACCTATCAGATACGGACAACCTGATGCCAAAATATGTTTTAAACATGATACTTCC